TCTTAGCCCCAACTTCAAGAATACTTAATAATAATCATCGTAATAGTAGTTTTTCTCCAACTAGATTAATAACAGAAAATTATAGTGCTGATGGCCATAGTAATGACAATAATAATGAAGCGGTAACATCTTCACGGTTAACCAGAAATTCATCGTCACATAATCGTCATTATCAACAACAACAACCACAAAATTTTTATAACATTCCATCACCTACAACGTCACCACCACCACCATCACATTTACCATATCATCCACAACAACAATATTATCCGCAACGATCACAACACCCGACACCTCCTCCTATGTTAACTACGCCAAATCCATTCACCAACGACAATTATCCTTTTGTACGACCAACTCAATTTAATTATGCGCCTAGGAGTCAAATGGGTTTGTATTCGCCTAATGGTAGATTGAATGGAGCTCAAAATAAACAGTACAACAGACCCATGGATCATACAAATCTTTATAGCAATTATAATATCAATAATGTGCAGAAAGTTAATAATGTGATGACGGGTCAAGATAATTCTGGTAATGGAAATGTCGAATCCAATGTTGCTGGAAGCAGTGGAGATGACAATAATAATGCAGATAATAATAATGCAAAATCATTGGTAAGAAATAATTCAAAAGAAGCTGACGGAACAGCAGAAAAACCAATAACATCAAATTTATCAACATCATCGTTAACCAACCATTAATTATTTAATTAAAATGAATTTTTTTTTCATGTATTTTTTATTCACATGTAAATAAATATTTTTATATTAATAAAAAGTTTTCTATTTTGTATCACATCATCACATCATCACGTCAATCACATCATAAAAAATGTCTCTGCGAACAGCTAGATCTTTAACAATAGTAATAAAACTTGGTACTTCGTCAATATGTGACGAGACAACGCATTTGCCATTATTATCGAATTTATCGTTAGTAGTTGAAACAATAGTGAAATTACGCTCCTTAGGACATAAGGTAGTGTTGGTTTCAAGTGGTGCTATTGGAGTTGGTTTAAGAAGATTAGAAATGGATAAAAAACCAAAAAAATTATCCGCCGTCCAGGTATTATTTATCCACGCACACGCACATACATATGTTTATATTATCAGACGGATTGGACGGGTGGGTTTATATTAATTTTGATTTATTAAATATTGGGTTTTTAATTAAGGCTGTTGCAGCAGTTGGACAAGGAAGATTGATGAGAATGTACGATGATCTATTCAGCCAATTAAATCAACCAATTGCGCAAATTCTTTTAACTAGACATGATCTTGCTGAGGTAAAGAAGGAATTATAGTAAATTAAAAAAAATTTTTTTTCTCATTTATTAATCAATAGAAATTTTTAGAGAACGCAATATTTGAATGCGGTGAACACATTTGTTGAATTATTGAATATGAAAGTTGTTCCTATCGTAAATGAAAATGATACTATATCTGTTAGTGTAAGTAATCAATCTTTAATTTGCCTCCCCCCACCCAATATATAGTTTGATTATAAATTTATTTAATTGACAGGAAATAAAATTTGGAGATAATGATACATTATCAGCTATTACAGCAAGAATGGTTAACGCTGACTATTTGTTTTTGATGACGGATGTTGATTGTTTGTACACTGATAATCCAAGGATAAATTCAAATGCAATACCAATTAAAATTGTTGAAGATATTGGAACACTAAAAGAGTCAAGTATTTATTTACAATTTTATATTTAATATTTATATATAGTAATGATAGTAATAATAATAAAATTGTTATTATTATTATTATTATTATTACTATTATATTAGTTATTGTTTCATCGCCCGGCAGTTCATTGGGTACAGGTGGGATGGTTACTAAACTTATAGCAGCAGATTTAGCAACAGCAGCAGGTGTGACCACAATAATATCTAAAGGTTCAAACCCTAAAAATATTATCAAAATAATAAATAACCTAACACAAAAAGATTCAGATGTTGAGAGCAATGTAGCTGTGGTGGAAGACGTTCCCTTGTATACTAGATTTTTAGCAAAAGAAGATCCAATTAAAGGTCATAAATGGTGGATATTGCATGGATTACACACAGCTGGTAAAGTTTATATCGACAAAGGAGCAGCAACAGCCATTTCAAAGAAAGGACAAAAATGTAGTTTGTTTTCTGCAGGAATTGTAAAAGTTCAGGGTAACTTTAGTTCGAATCAAGCAGTTCATATAGTTTATGAGAATCGGCCAATAAAAGTTGGTGAACAACAACAAGTAGATGATGTAAAAGATGAAAAAGAAAATCATAATGTGATTAATATTGGTAAAGGTTTGGTGAATTATAATTCCATGGAAATTTCTAGAATCAAAGGTTGCAAAAGTTCTGAAATAGCAGAGAAATTGGGTTATACTGATTCAGAATGTGTTATTCATAGAAATAATATAGCCATTACTATCAAAGATAGCGATATGATAAATTTAAATTTAAATTGAATAAAAAAATTTTAAATATTTATTATTATTGTAAAATTTTTTTGTTCTAATTTCTAATTCTTCTATAAATTCTATTTGTTTATATAAACAACATTCTATTAGTGTAACGCTAATTCTGCTAAAAGAATAATATACAATCAATATTATATTTATATATTTTTTTACATTACTGATTTTATTAATTTTATTATCATTATCATTATCATTATTTATAATTGTAAATCTATATTTTAGCCTGCCTAAAACAATTAAGCCCAGTCCATCAAAGAAAAAGTAAATTAAAACTATATATATGTATAATATGAGTATTTGTGATTTGTATATATAAATTATGATGTGAAAATATATATGTATAAATTTATACATACAAAAAATAAAAGAGAATACTCGTTTAAAGTAGTAAAGAATGAAGAATAAAAAAGAATGAAAGAATGGAAGAATGAAAATCAAAAAATGTATAATGTGTATTTTCCACCAATAAAAAATAATTCAAAAAAAACTTTTTACAATATCCCCAATACAATAATAATTAATAATAATAGTCGAGAACCCCCCTAATTAAGAAGTCTGTCACCTAAAATTAAATCTTTAACGTTCATCACAATAGAATAACGAATTAATTCTTTTGTCAACAAATTAAATTGATAAGGATTCTCTGAATAAAGATATAATAACATTATTAATGTAATAACATCCGTATAATTCATAGACTTTGACGATTTTTCAATTGTTTTTTGAGAAGATTCAATATCTATGGTAGTAAAAGGATTAACCAATGGCTTGTTAGAATGTCCCCCATTTCTAGTCCTAACACTGGATTTACCACTATTTGTACCTCTACCGCTGGATCTACCACCATTTATACCTCTACGCCCACTACTGTCACCAACACTAACAACATTGCCAACGCCACTATCATTACCAATGCCTTTGGCTCTAGGTCTAACCTTAATATAAGGAGCGTTTTGTTGGTTCCGATATTTTGGTTGCTGTCTCAATTGCTGCTGTTGCAATTGCTCCCGTTTTAATTGTTGTAGTCTTTGTTGCTGTTGTTGTTTTAATTGTTCATCTTTTTCCTGTCTTAATATTTGCTGTCGTAGTTGTTGTTGTCGTATTTGATGATATTCTTGATAACAAATTTGCTCTTGTGGCCGATTCACATCCCTGACTTCTGGTCCACTTTCAGTAGTTTTATCATTACCTGTCTCTAATTCCTCTTCTTCTTCTTCTTCTTCCTCCTTCTCCTTCTCCTCCTCATCATCATCGTCAGTCTATAAATAATAAATAAAATATAAATTAAAGTTTCATTATAGTAAATAATAAATAATGAATAAATAATAAAATTTACATTGTTTTCATCTACTTTTTCTTCAGAATTATAATTATTATAATGATAATATGAATAATCATGATAATTCTCTTCATCGTCATCATCATCATTATAATATAGGAACTTATTTTTTAATGATTTTGAAATCCTGAATTCAATTAAAATATTAAAATCTACATCATCTGGAACATTTTGATTTCGATTTTTTAAAAGATCCTAAAAAATTATCAGAATAGCAATAACGACAACAACAGTAAGTAACGTAAACTTATATAATAATAATATCATTATATTATATTAGTAAATTTAATTTATGCCTTGGGTGAAATCATTCTTAATTTATTATTATTATATTGATGAATTTTATTTAGGTTAGAACGTTTAGATTCTGAATGTTCGATAATGTAATCCGGAAGATTAAATCGAACTGATTTGGATGAATCTAATGGATTTTGATAGTGTTGTTGTTGTTGTTGTTGTTGTTGTTGTTTTTGTTGTTTTTGTTGTTGTTTTTGTTGTTGTTGTTGTTGTTGTTGTTGTTGGTGTTGTTGGTGGCGTTGATGCGAATAACTATAATGTTGTTGATGTTGGTTTGGATATTGGTGTTGATGTTGTTGGTGAAATTGATTTATATTTGAATTATTATTTCTCAGAAATTCAAACCCCTGATTATGATAACTATTTATTATAAATGTAAATGTTTGTTATTTCACAATCTAAAAAAGCATTGTAACTTTCACACTTGTAAAAAAATAATGTATACATAAATTACATACTCTACATCATAATGATTATTATTTCTGATCACCATAATCTTTCCTCCTATGTATCATTATTATTTTTCAAAATTATCACAATATATATATAATATATATATATTATATATATATATATATTTCTTTAATATTAATGTTAATTATTACTAGTATTATTATTATTGTAATTATTATTAATAGTAGTAGTGTTAATTTGTTAGTAGTAAATTGGTAAGATAATGAATGATATTTAGAAAATTGAATACTTTTCAACATCAACACCACACATTCATTTTTTGTTTTTTTGTTTTTTTTTCTTCACTTACTAAATAAAAAATCAGGTATATATATAAGCGAAAAACTGTTGATCTCTCCTGTTTTTGTTTATTTATGCCATTGAATTAAATATGCATATTTGTGTAAAATTTTTATATACTTCTTTTTTGGAAAATTTCATTTTTATTTTCCTATTACTACTTCTTAATCTATTTAATCTATTTAGTTAAATTACGCGTATCTTGATTATTCCATTTTTGCTTTATTTTATTTCTATTACTACTACCATTACTATTACCGTTACTATTACCATTACCATTGCTATCTACATTACAACACACATTACTACTGCCATAAAAAATCTAAAACTTGATGGATTTCTAATTATGGTAACGGCTATAAATCGTTTTTATCCCTCTTCCACGAGTTTTCTTTCCCCTTAATATTAACATATTTATTTGTTTTTTTTTGTTTATTATAAAAAAACGGATATTATTTTGTAAATATTTATTGTTTTTTTTGAGATCACCATTATCAAATAACAATCATTGTATAATGAAATCATCATAGTAATCGGGATTTAACTGAAAATGCGCAGCAAACCTGATAAGAATATATTTTATCTTCTTTCGTCTAATTTTCTATGAACATTATTAATACAACCTTCAAGAATTTTTTTTTTTTTTATATACAAAATTCTTTTTCAGAAATTAAATTAGCATCAGAAGAGCCACCCACCAGATAATTTTCTTTAACATTTTGTATCACCAACAATAATTTGTCGTTTATTTTTTTTTTTTTTGAAAAAGCTATTCTTCTTCAATATGCCTAATAATGGTTTTTCATCCTTGGAAAAGATCAATATTTTTGTTAATAATCTTATCAACTTCAACAAAGATGTCTTATCATTAAAACGTTTAGCAAACTTTTAAGCGATTTATCAAACTTGTTGAATGAATCTGATTGTTATATGAAATCAATGTTGGAGGAGATGAGAACATTAAAACTTTTAAAGCTCATTCTGACATTTTGAAAACAAGGTCTTTGTAGTTTAAAACTGCTTTGCCAAATAATTAAATAATTGGGTAAAAACAAATCTGGAATTATTTTATTTGAAAAAAAAAAGTTTTTTTTTTAAAAATTTTTTAAAAGATATCTAATTGAATTGTTAATATATATAGATAATATTGACTTGTAAAACTCAATCATATGCACTTTGCGTAACATATTACACATTACCGATGATTCAGCAGAAATGATTTCAGTGTCATCAGATATGTGATGATCACAAACTTCAACATCGCCAGAAAGATCAGTGAAAAAAAGGAGATCGGCTAAATATCAACATAAGAGAGATTTTTGATTCGTATTTCCATAGAGGACCATACCTGTGTTGCGGTACGGGTGTGGATGGCTGTAGTGTATTTTTATTGTGAATATGAATGGGTACGAGTTTGAATGATCCGGACGTTTGCGCAACCCGAAAAGATTAATTATTATTAATATTATATTAGAATGAAATTCAGAATTTTGTTATCCAAAATACTCAAAAGTTTTTATTATATTTCACGCGCGTGAATTTTGAAATAAAATTTCCAAAAATAAATATACACATCTTTAATTATTACAGCAACAATAATAATATTATTTTGGTATATAATATCTACCATATCAGATACATTGATTATTGATCAAATAAGATCTAAATTAAGAGCAGGATAACTATTTTTAAAAGAGAAACAAGGAGGAAGAAGTGACATTTGGGATAAGTTTGCTAGTTGACTTGGATGACAAGATGATTGGGTATATTGTTTGTAGGAATCGTGACTATATAACTAAATATAATTATAAACTAGGAACCTCAAATTTACAAAGACATAGCTGTTGCAACTTAGATAATCAATCAAAGATTACTTCATTTTTGCAAAAAAAAATGGAGCATCAGCAAATGTTAAAGAATTAATAAATAAATTTTGTCTGTTGTGATTTGAGGCCATTTGAAATAGTATCTGGTAAAGATTTTTGAGAATTTGTTCAAGAATTAATTAACATTGGTTCAGTATATGTGCTATTGTTTATAGCAAGAATGCAAGAGTATCTTTAATGTATTTGAATGTATCAGTTAAAAACTTCAAGTGGTAAATTTAAACATCAACAATTTTTTATTAAAAAAAGTTACACAAGAAAAAATAATTCATATTTATATATTATTAATAAAATTTATGAACTGATGATTTATTATCTTAAAAATCCCAATTCTTGATATTTTTTTAATAAATTACCTAGTCTAATTCTTGATGAACCACCTGTTAAATTTATTCTAAAAGGTTTAGATCCTTTCCAATTCTTCATTAAAATTTCCAGTGAACTATCTGAAATAGTACCCATATAATAAACAGATATAGTATTTAAATTTTTTGGTAATGCTTGATTTAAGGCTTTTAAAATTCTATCACCATCCAACTCACCAACACCAACTTTCTTAAGTCCAATAGATTTTAAATTAATGCAATTAATAAATATTGAAATTAATTGTTTGTCTAATTCATCATCATAAACAATTGATAAATGTTCCAAATGTTGACAATATTGTGCAATTGATTGAAGAAGCTTGCTCAAATCTTCATTATCTGTCCACCTAAACCGAACTTTCAAAATTTTAAGATTGCTTCTGTTGTTTTTTATGAATTCTGATAAGTCTGATGTTTGCTGACCACAAATTATAACCAAATCTATAGATTCAATATTTGGAAGTAGAGTAGTTTTCAAATAACTTACATCATTTTTTACAATATTTATTTTTAAAAATTTTAAATTATGAAATGTTGGTATTATTATAGGATCTATATTATTTTTTCCAATGCTAGAATAATCAATTATTGATTGTGAATGATTTAAAATTGCTTTCATAAAATTACCTGATAAAATAAAACCATGGCGTGAAGCAATAGTTAACTTCCGAATTTTATACTGTGCTTTAATTAGTTGAGCTAGTCTATAGTCAATATTAATATTTTTACCATATGAAAATCTGAAATTTATTTTTAAAACTTGAATCTTTTTACAAGTATTTGCTAATTTATCAATAAATTTTAAATTATTGTTAATTATTAAATGTAATTGACAAAGATTTTGAAAGCAAGTGGTAGTGATATTATGAACAAAAATTGAATTGGTTAAATCAATATCAATAAATTTCCTGATATTTGAATATTCTAAAATAAAATACACTAATCTTTCTTTTAAACTAGCTATAATTGGATTTCTACAAATAATTGTCCTCAATCCAGAATCATCCAATTCAGTTGCAAATTTAGCATAGTTATATAATGGTGGTTTCTCCAATAGTTGAAAAGTTAATTCAATGTTATTTTTTATTAAAAAATCTTTATCTTCTATTAATAAACAATTAATTAATATTTGAATACTGAATATAGAACGAAATGGATTTCTCCATAAGGTTGAAATATTGATGTTGTGCCATTGTTTATTGACAAGGATGCAAGAATATAGTGATTTATAATCATCTTCAATGTATATGAATATGTCAGATAAAACTTCAAGTGGTATATTTAACATTTTTTTATTAAAATAAAAAAAATTAATCTGTACAACTTTACAATTACACGAACTTATACACAAAAATTATGTTCATTTTTTGGTTGTTTTGAGTAATCTAGAATGTCATCATATAAAAATAATTAACAGTTATGTATATGCCGATACCTACCTGATAACAAGAACTAATCTTGCCACAACGGTTTTAATATGAAATAAATTTTTCATATGTATCCCGTTCATCTGCTGTGACAGGTGAATAAAATGTGTGTTTACGGATTTGCATACAAGAAAGAGGCAGCAAGTACAATTGTCAAGTACCGAACTATTGTAAGTTGCTTGCAATTAACTGGGAAGAATAGCTCAAAAGTTCCAAAAGGCTACCTTACAAGATCACCATTTAACAAGATTCAAAAGTTTATTACTTCAAAAGATAAATAATCATAACGAATAAATTTATAGTAGAGATTAAATTAGTTGCTCGTCGATTCTTTCTTTTGATTATTACTAGAATCCGATGTTTATTAACAATCAAATGCAAATAAAAAGTATTGTTAGTAGTAATTAATTTCCAATTGAATAATAATGAAATTATTATTCATCATTGTTAACATTTTTGAAAAAAGAGTTAAAATCAAGAACTATCACGATACGTCTATGAATGAGTGAGCTATACATAGGGATCAGCGGAGGAAAAATGTCACAAATTCCACCAATTGACGACTTTGTATAAAAAAATGGTACTATACTTTAGTATTATAAAATGAAACAAATGACAAAGAACGTATTTATGTATTTTTTTTTTTAAGAATATTGAAAAAAAAAAATGGGGATGTAGAGATGAGTGAGATTTTTCATATATAATAATAAAAAAAAATAATATATAATTCGAATAAATTATTCACTATAATTAATCAATTTGAGTATTCAATGAATGAAATAAAACAGATGAACAAATAAAATATAATTAAGATTGAACAAGAAATTGTGTTATGAATATAACATATTTCAAAATTCTGAAACTATTAAATTCGGAAACTGTTTTTAAACTCTGAAATTCAAAACCATTTCAAAACTCCAAAACTTAAAAAAAAGGAAAATGACACTATAAGTACTTTATTATTGATTAAATCCTTTCAAAGACAAACAAAAATGAAATCGTAAAGTTTTTTTTCATTTTCTTTCATTTAAATTTATCACATGATGGGGATGTGGAATATATTTTCGCAGTTCATTATATAATAATAATAATAATAAGATATTTCCTCCAGTTTTTTAATATTAATAGTAAAAAGATCGACATTTCACAGACGGATCGTCAATTAAGCATTTAGATTTAGCAATCTCTTTATCTAACATTCTACTTACCATCGTCACTGCTTGCTGCTGCTGCTGCTGCTACCATCATTATTAAAATCAATTTCATCCTCATCGCCTACAAATAATTTGAATAAT